TGCTGATTTCCTTCGAGCTCCTGGTGTACAGACTCCAGTCATTGTGAGATTCTCTACTGTTATTCATGAAAGGGGTAGTCCTGAAACTCTGAGGGATCCTCGTGGTTTTGCTGTCAAGTTTTACACCAGAGAGGTATGTCAAAAATCAATTTGACGAGTTACAGCTACTATAGTTCTGTACCTTTATACTTCAATTTCCATATACAGACCGGAGTATACATGTTTTGATGATTCCCTTGTTGGTACACGGCTTAATAATATGTACCTCATTTAAATGTTGCCTGGAGTGCTTCATCGATGTTATGTTGCAACTCAAAAATACTACATGGAGTTCATTTAATTTTTTTCGGTAGTGTATCTGCATCCCATAGGGTTCTATCTTTAAGTACCCTGCATATAGGTCCACATGTTTGTTAACATTCTAGAGGTTATGAAATATGAAGTGATTGTTCATGTTGTTTAACATCATACTAGAGACTATAAGGCCCCGTAATATTCAATTCCTCTCAGTGCATTTTATGCTGCTAATTTTTGATGATTAACAACTGTCTTTTTGAGAAATGATCTCATTGCTTTTCAAAGATGCTTGTGTTTGTGATTTGTTGATTGCATTTGATTTTAATCCTTGATTCCTGCTCAATTTGCAATATACCATCAGGGAAACTTTGATCTGGTAGGGAACAACTTCCCCGTCTTCTTCATCCGTGATGGAATGAAGTTCCCTGACATGGTCCATGCTCTGAAGCCAAATCCTAAGTCCCATATCCAGGAGAATTGGAGGGTCCTTGATTTTTTCTCTCATCATCCCGAAAGCCTGCACATGTTCACTTTCCTCTTCGACGATATTGGTATTCCACAAGATTACAGGCATATGGACGGGTCTGGTGTCCACACATTCACATTGATCAACAGGGCTGGAAAATCAACTTATGTGAAGTTCCACTGGAAGCCCACATGTGGTGTCAAGTCTTTGTTGGAAGAAGAGGCAATCCGAGTCGGAGGAGCAAATCACAGCCATGCTACTCAGGACCTCTATGACTCTATTGCAGCTGGAAATTATCCTGAATGGAAGCTCTTCATTCAGATTATGGATCCAGAACATGAAGACAAATTTGACTTTGATCCACTTGATGTGACAAAAACTTGGCCAGAGGACATCTTGCCTTTGCAGCCGGTGGGAAGATTAGTTCTGAACAAGAACATTGATAACTTCTTTAATGAGAATGAGCAGCTAGCTTTCTGCCCTTCTATTGTGGTTCCAGGTGTTTATTACTCAGATGATAAGATGCTTCAAACTCGTATTTTCTCCTACTCTGATACCCAGAGGTATCGACTTGGACCAAACTATTTGCAACTTCCTGCTAATGCTCCAAAGTGTGCTCATCACAACAATCACTATGATGGCTCTATGAATTTTATGCACAGGGATGAGGAGGTATGTTCTCTCTCCTTCCATAACGGAACACATCTATCCATGAATTATAATATCCATGAATTTTATGATATTAATCTTTGAAGATTTTTTGCACTATCAGGTTAACATTTCTTTTTTTACCATGTGTAACAATAAGTTAATTTTCATAGCGAAGGTGATATAGTAACTTAAAAGATGGGGAAATAGCCAGTTATATTGCACTAATATTGTATAAGTTCTTTACATGTCGGTGTATGTAACTTAAATCGTATGCTAATACCACATAATAACGACACGTTATAGCAAATGGCGTGCCTTTAGCTTAGCGTGTAAGTTCATACACATTGAAATAGTTCATGTGATATGTTGACTGTAGTGTCATAACTTCAGTTTATTTACTATTTTAATTATGGTGTTATTTTATAATACATAATGCATGGTTAATTACAGATCGACTACTTCCCTTCAAGGTATGATCAAGTTCGCCATGCTGAGGTGTATCCTATTCCTTCAACAGTTTGCAGTGGCAAACGCGAGAAGGTTTGTTCCTTCTTTTTACCTATTATCTAAACGCGTGAAGCTGAATTAAGAATATACCTTGTGAAGCAGTGTACTAGATATCCAACACAACTTATTTCAACTTTTGTGCACCTGAAAATTTCTTACAGTGTATCATTCAAAAAGAGAACAATTTCAAGCAACCAGGAGAAAGGTACCGCTCATTCACACCCGACAGGTAAACATGATTGGCATATCTTAAACTGTGTTGTTGTTAAGTTAACATTTTCAGTAGTTCTAAACCCATCTCCTTCATTCTGTTTGATAATACTTGTTTTTTCATTCACAGACAAGAACGCTTTATTCGTCGGTGGGTGGAGGCCTTGTCTGATCCTCGTATCACTTATGAAATACGCAGCATTTGGATCACATACTGGTCTCAGGTCAGTACTCTATCATACCCTATATTTATCTGTGTTAGGCAGAGGTGGATTTAGGGTAGATTTTTCTGGTCAAACTGAAGTCGTGCTTTTTGTTCAATATGCAAAAAAATTTAGAAGGCATACATATTATAAGATCATACTCATTCTAAACATACTAACTACAAACTTAGAACTCCTTCTAGACTATTAGGTCAATTTTTCTCAAGCTAGACTTTATCTTGGCAAATAAATTTCATAGAGCAACTATTAGTTCTGTAAATTTCCTGACAATGTTAAATGGATTACTGCAGGCTGACAAGTCTTTGGGTCAAAAGCTTGCATCTAGGCTTAATGTGAGACCAAGCATATGAAGACGAAGCTTTTAAATGGTTTCAGAGGAGGATGCAAGAGTTTTAATAACTCATTCCACTTATATAGCAAGATGTATAATGCGATGGATGATCATATTTAGATGAAATAAGGAGCATTTCCAATACATATGCATTTGTTATTGTGTTGCTGTTGTAATATGAATGAATGAGTGAGTGAAGCAATGGAAATTACAAATAATATTTCTGTACTAAGTTGTACACTTATTATCAGTATTGTCATGAATGTTTTTGGTTCTCAACATATAGCATACAGTTGATTCGTATGGATATGTAAATATGCATTTGCTGCATCCAGAAGGAAATGTTTAATTACGAAGAAGAGAGTGAAGTGCTTTAATAGATGTGGAGCACCAACCCTCTTTTTGAATAAATTGAAACTCGTTGAGGAAGTATTAAATGATGATCTAAAACCTAATGCGTGCAGGCATGTCCCTTTAGCGGGTGATTTACTCTCGAAGCGAAGAAAAGGCTGGATCAATCAAAGCGGTACTAAAAGGCTAGATTAATCAAAGTGATACCACGAGCTCTCTGCCATACACATCTAACCAGCTCACATGGCTCACTGCCTTACGCACAGAAGATTGGATTGGCTAAGTCATGAGTCTTATATAATGTGTTAATCACCTCATATTGATAAAAAGTCTACAGATAATTTCTTTAAAAAAATCAAGAAAGCCATAAAAATAGAATGACATGAATTATACAAGAAGTTCTTTCAATTAAAACGCCGTGCCACTTGGAAGACATAAGTCTTCTTGGTCAAGCCAAAGAGATCAATACAATTTCAATTTATATGAGTTAGTTTGACTTGATATGAAGTTAAAGAAAAAAAGAAACATTTTTAGAAATTTGAGATTAAAAATAAATCAGAGACATGTGTAGTTAGTAATTATTTTATCAAAATGAGCATTTAGCAACGAGTAAATTTTTTTATTATATAAAATGGAAAAAAGAGAGTAAATTATTGCAAACATTAATTAGAGGACAACCTAATACCCAATCTAACATTAATTAGAGGACAACCTAATACTCAATCTAACATAGTGAGAACGGGTATGTAAACAACTTACAAAAATAGTGATATAAAGTACATTGTGTAATTCCCTAGGACATGCAAAGAGACATGAAGTATTGATATTCGCTCGTGAATTTTATTTAGGACAACTTTCACGTATAACAAATATAAAATTTATATTTGTATGTTATAACAAAGTTTGTATAATTGCGTTTTATAGTAAACTTATATATGTATAATTCGCTATACATATACAATAAAACAAATTGTATAAAACGAGAAAGAGTGCAAAACAGAATTGAATTGTATAAAACGAGAAAGAGAGAAATTATATACAATTTGAATTTGTATAAAACGAGAAATAGAGAAAGACAAAAGAGACTTATGCAGGGAATATACAAACGAATCGAATTGTATAAAACGAGAAAAAGAGATATTATATACAATTTGAATTTGTATAAAACGAAAAGACAAATGAGACTTGGGCAAGGAAATATTTGTATTGTATAATTATAAGTGTATAAGACGAAGATATATTCATTTGCATACTTTTATACAATTAGAAACACAATTCATACAATTCTATTGTATAAAGCGAGAGTGGCGAGCGACAGGAAGCAAACGAGAGAGGGAGAGTGGTGAGCGAGAATATAAGTGAGAGAGGGACTAACAAACAGTTTGCTATGGAACGCAAATAAATCAAAGGATACTGCTATATTTATTTTATATTATTAGTTTGTCATTCTATACAATAATCTATTTTTGTTTTACTTTTATGTGGCACAGTTCCAATTTTTCGGAGTATCAAAATCTTTAAAATATATTGAAAGAAAATTTTACATTTAAAAATTAATTTTAAAAAAATATAAATCATTGACAAATTTTTTTTAAAAAAAGAAACATGAAAAATTAAGGTAAAAACAAAATTCCTTAAAATCTCTAAATCCAAAAGTACCCTCGGAAATTAAACTTCATCGTCCTATAATAATGTGAAAATGCAATATATTTTTAAGGACGTTACGGTCTTCCGTTAATCTTACTCGAATGTCCCTTATTTTGGGATCTAATGTGATATCTCTTCATCAATGAGGAGATATTGCAGTGCAGATCCAGTGAACTGACCTGTATAGTCCTTTTATTTTATTCAACTTCTATACCATTAAAAAATAAAAATTGATGATGACCCTTAAATATAAAGTTTTATCTTGTTATGTTCTGAGATGCATCCATGTGGGAGCAAAGTAAAATAAGTTTCAGTGTTAAACTAAATGAGTTATTGCAAACATTTTAAAATTATATATTACATATTAAAAAATTAGTACTAAAATGTATAAATGCACAATTATTGATGACTAAAAAAATTTTAAAATTCCAAAAGGTGGCTGATTAAAAATAATTTCAGTATATATAAGAAGGTGACATGCAGTATTATAGGGCATTGCAGCGACATAGTTCGGTATTCCGTTAACTCTACGCGAATCACTCCTTTAGTGCCATCTGTGGTTTTCCGCCCAAAAAATAGTGTCTAACTGAAGCGAATTGTATTTTTTTCCATCTCTTCTTCTTCCCTTGCTTACAATTTTCGGTTTCCAGGCAAATTTTTCTTACTCAGGTATCAAGATTTGTCACTTTCTTGAATTTAATCAAATTTTTTGGTACTTTCATGTAATTAGTTCAATTCGTTTCTGTGATAGGAGTTCAAGAAAATAAAGTAACTTTTGAATCTTGTAATTTCTAAAGTAAAAAGAAAAAAAAAGAGAGGTTCTTGAATATCTATCCAATACAAAGAACATAAGTTTTATATTTTCTCTCTCATTGTATGGTTTGATTTTGTTTTCAAGAAAATAAAGAAAGTTTTGAATCTTGTGTTTTTAAGTCTAAGAAAAGAAACATTCTTTTTGAAACATCCATATAGATATATTACTTGTTCTGCATTATTTCGTTCAGTTAATTACATAACAGAGTTGCTCTGTTTGCACTACTAAAATTGCTAAGGATGTCACAGAGTGTACTGAGGTTGACACATCCATATATATTACTTGTATAAACTTAGCTGCTTAATTCTTACATGTGTTGCTGCAAGTATTAGAGATTACGATTCTTGTGTTGGTTTGTTCTATATTTTGCATATCCCACCTGAATTGATTCGCAAAGGCGATGGTTTGGTAATAAACTGTGTGTTTCAGTGTCTGCAGCATTTTAATTATGATGGAGAAGGGAGATCCTTCACAGAAATTATATACAAGGATGCGACTTTGGGAATTTCCAGACCAGTATGTTGTTGAGCCTACTGATGGATCCTGTGGTTCGTGCTTGGAGATCAGCCGCGTAGATGGGTCTGTGAAACTAATAGGTTGCTTCTTTTCCTCTTTATGAATTTCTTCCGGACTTCACTATTTATTAAGCTAATGATATTTCATTTCCGGCACTTGTTCTCTATGTCAGATGAGGTTCCAGAATGCAGTTCGGTTCGTGTTCCCAAAATTCAAAAAATATTTGGTGTTATAGGCATACTAAAGCTTTTGGCTGGTAAGAACTAAAAGATCAAGATTTTCAGCTCTCATGCATACATCAATAATCTTTACATTATCAGGAATAAGTTACCGTTTGTTGCTTATTCTCATGAAGGTTTTGTTTCATAAAATGATCTCAGACATATACAAAGTATGTACCAATGTCTTGGTTTTGTTCAATTATGCATTTGATGGATATCTTATATCTCATGTATTGAGCAAAAGCAGGACTATGAAATTTAAAGGCAAAAAGTTTATCATGTCATTGAAAACATTTTTTTTGACTATTATGCTTTTCTCAAGAGAAGATTGAAAAGACATAACATGGTAGAAAGAAGTTGGAAGAGAAATAGCAATCATGCATTTGATTGGTTGATATTAAAGCTTGCTCTGATCTAGTGTGTGCTGCTCTTGTGTTCAGGTTCATATGTACTGGTCATAACGGACCATGAATTTATTGGATCTTACTTTGGGCACCCTATCTTCAAAGTTTCATCGATGAAATTTTATCCTTGCGATCAGTCTCTCAAGAACTCTACTGCTGAAAAGGTAGGTTTCCAAATTCCTATTTAATTTCCTACCCTATTTCTTTGTAAGCTCATGCTGGTGTCTTCTATTTCTGTTCCTATAATCTTGCTTTGGCTTTTGGCAGAAAAACATGGAAGCTCAGTTTTCGGCACTGCTTAATGTCATAGAGAGGACTCCTGGTCTATACTTCTCTTATGATGTCAATATAACATTGAGGTGAATTGTCTTTACAACCTTCTGAATACCTGTATGCTGCCTTTTTTCTTCTTTCCTTGTCTTGGGGTACCATTAGAAGTTAACTAACACCCTAGGTGATTATTTCAAATTAAGAACTACTTATTAAAATAAATGTTATCATTATAATACTACTACATTGTGTTTTAGCATTTTGGAGGATCTTTTTTTAAATTTTACTCATTGAAAAAATTTATTTGGTATAGTGGAGGAGATGGTATCTCGAGCTTACCATCAGTAGCATTTTCATAAATTTTAAGCCCTCAAAGTCTTCTTCCTGCTAGCGGACGCTTATTTGTTTATCCTATGCTTTTGAGATGCAATTCTACTTCAAAGTTGATGTATTTGCTGTCGGGCGTATTGCTTGTCAATGCTGGATGAGTTGTAAAACTCTAACTACACTTGATTGTCTTATTATGGGATCCTAATGTATAATGTCTTCAACAATGCATGAACGATGAAGTTTAGTTGTTTGTTCTTTATGAAGGCTGTTGGTTAGTGTATACCAAGCTACTTGTTTGAACTCCTCTATGTTGATCTCATATCATTGAACCCCTTAGATGATTTTAGGTTACTTTCCTCAACAACATATTAAGGCAATTTCTCTTCTTTTTACGTTCTTTTTCATCATCTTTCTGTATGGACTTATTTAGGGCACCATTTTAGAGGTGAATTTTATGAGTTAAAAGAACTTCTAAAATTTAAAAGTTATCATTATTTGCAATTTGGAAGTGTTACCTTCTGCTGCCCACATGGAATTTACTTGACACATTCATTTTCCTGATTATCTTTCATCTGATTGCTAAGATATCACAGTGCAGTGTTTAACAGAAAGATACTTATGGTTCACACTGCAGTGCTCAGAGACTGCATGATTTGGGTGATGAATCCAAGATGCTTCCTCTCTGGAGACAAGTAAGTATTTCAGACTTCCTACTGCTGTGATCGCGTAGCTCTGATTGCTTATATTTATCTAGTACATGCAGTAGTTTTCTTGCTTCCGTTATGTCTTAGTTGGTTGACTAGAAACTATGATTTTTAAATATTGCTTTAATTTATTATATGCAGGCGGACCCTCGATTTGTTTGGAACAACTATATGATGGAACAACTGATAGATAACAAGGTCACGTATCTATGTGCTTTGGGTTCATTTTGTTCTCCCATTAGAGTGTTGACTCATTTGTTATGCCTTGCATTTACAGCTTGACCAGTTCTTGCTTCCTGTTGTCCAAGGCAGTATCCTTGTAATTCAGTTAAATACATGAAAATTTTCAAGTATTATAGCTACTTTAACTCCTGCATAACGAGAGTTATTATTGTTACATTTTGATGAATACCTTAACTTATCACAAGGTTTTCACAATTTCCAAGCTGCAATTGGGAAAGACATTATTGATGTTACGCTGATTGCTAGGCGGTGCAACAGAAGAGCTGGTATTCATTTCTTTTTCTTGTTTTTTATCTGAATTTTGCAATTTGATTAAGCACGGTGAATGCAAGTAATGAACAAGGTTGCAAATATTGTTTTGTGTTTTATGTATAGTCATCCATTCTCATTAACTTGTCTATGAACTGAATGCAAATTAATTAGAATTCATGTTGTGACTTGCTCCATGTTATTCAGGTCCTCTGTTTATTTAATTTTAGTCTTAACCTATTCTCTTGATTACTGCAATTGGTTCGTTAATGTAGGCACTCGAATGTGGAGAAGAGGGGCTGATTCTGATGGATTTGTCGCAAATTTTGTGGAAAGCGAGCAAATTATCCAGTTGAAAGGGTATACAGCATCATTTGTTCAGGTACACTCGCTGAAAGTTTGATTGTGACTTTTTTTCTACACTAAGTATCTTGTTGCTCATGAAGTACCCTTTTGTACATATGTAGATAACTGAGGGGGATATCTAAAAATTCTGTCACAGTAGAGTTTGATATTGAATTGCAATTGCTGTGACAAAGTTTAAACTAATGCAGTAACCTTGTATTACCTTCTCTGTTTGCAAGTTGAGTGTGTGTTCCCTCTCTTTTAATGATTGAAGAAGGGGTTGATCAAAAAAGAGAAGAAGAAGGAATCGAGAGTACTCGGGTGGAGAACATGATGTCGTCAAAATAATAAAATAACTGAATCAATTAACATAATGGTTTTTGTTGTTCGGACCATTCTATATAGAAATCCTGCATTATTTCTTTGACATATCCACTGAGCTTACTGTTTAAAGACCAGTTCAATACTCAGTACAGAACCTCTCATCTGCAATGTACATTTTGGTATGGCAAAGAGCAATAAAACTTGATCCTCTGCGGCTCTACCTGACAATAACAAATCATCCACTTGTTACAACTTCCATTAGTTGCTTCCTACAGGCTTATAGCTCACCCGTCATAAGGAAAAGACTGAATCCTCGAAGAAGTAGCACCCAGACTATGAAGCAGTAGATAATATCTCGCATTAATACCATGATAAGAAAATAGACCTTGAGGGTAATTCAAGTTCCCCCTCCCCAACCAATATAGGACTCAACAATATGGAAAAGTGAATCTTTTGGCTGGTAGAGAAAGGGAAGGTTGGGAAATTCACAATCTTAATATAGGTTTAAGCTCAGTATCTCATTTCTTCACTTCTTGTTGAGTTATTCTGTTACTTCATTAAAATTGTTGCTTTTTTATAGGTCAGGGGGTCAATCCCATTACTATGGAATCAGATTGTTGATTTGACATATAAGCCCAAGTTTGAGATAGTGAGAATTATAGAAGCAGTTGAGTAGCATTCTCAGTCTCTTTTAGTTTCTTGATTCTATAACACACTTAATGTGCTTTTCACTCCTAATGACTCTGTTGTGTAACATTCTGCAGCCTAGAGTTGTTGAGCGGCATTACTTGGATCTGAGAAAGAAGTATGGAAATGTTCTATCAATTGATCTCGTCAATACGGTATAATATTTCAACTAATTCTTGGTTTTCAAACTAGTTGATCTATTAGAAAACATAGTTTGATTCTCTTCTTTTTTGTGCGTGTGTAATAATTACTCGGAGGCAGTCCGGTCGTTGATTTTTTTAATATGATTGTATGAAAGAGATTCTATGTATTTTTACATCGATATATCTAGACAATTTTATTTATCGTCCTTGACTTTTTATCCAAAACTCCTATCAGCATGGAGGAGAAGGACGCCTAAGTGAAAAGTTCGCAAATGCAATGCAACATGTTGCTGCTGATGATGTGAAGTAGGTTTCTAATTATTTTTCTTGTGGTAAATCATATGGATCTTCTTAAGTACACACTTCACTCTAATATCTCATGACTTTTGCAGATACTTGCACTTTGATTTTCACCACATATGCGGGCATGTTCATTTTGAACTCCTTTCTATCCTCTACGATCAAATTGAGGATTTTTTCATTAAAAATAGGTATGTCTTTTCTGAGTGTAGATCTATATATAAAGACACACCCACACACATATGTACCCATCTTGTATAGAGTTTCAGTTTCCTCAACCCCTTACTAGTCGTAAATCATTGGGGATTACATGAAAATATGCTCTTATTTCTGAATCTCATCTACCTGGAGATGGGATGTGCGTGGACCCATTCTAGCCAGCATCCATTGGACTAGGCTTGGCCTGTAAATCGTGGAGGGATTGATGGCTTAACCGTAAAGAATTTAACTGTTCTTTTTACTCTTTTTTCTTTCTGGGAGGACAAACCAGTTAAACCTGGCTTACCAATAACTAGTATAGGAATCCAGTGTAGGTCAGCATGTTACGGTTTCATAGAAAGAACTATTAGAAACAAATAAGTGAAGTAGAATGTGACATTTCATGTTATACATCTCTTGAGCAAAAGATTATGCCAAAACAACTTTATGCATGAAGAGACAGCAGCACTAGTAGCAAGGAGAGAGCTCTTTTTCTTATTTGGTTTGAAAATTGGGGAGAAACTGAAAATCTAAACCAACTAGCAGACTGTATCAGGAAATATTATGAGAAAGAGAGAGTGAGAGAGATGGGACGGATAACAATTAATTGCATGGTGTTGTTTAGAGACTTCGAATTTGCATCCATCATGAAGTAATTATTTCTCTAAATACGCTTTCTTTACCACTCTGTTTCTTGTAGTATTCTAATTTTCGTCTCACCCGACCTTGATGTTAAATTTGGATTTCTTACTCTCATGGTATAGGTATTTTCTGTTAAATGAGAAAGATGAGAAAGTTGAACTGCAACTTGGAGTTTTGAGGACCAACTGCATTGACTGCTTAGACCGTACAAATGTAACTCAGGTACCTTCCATCCTGTGGAAACATTACTATCATTGGTGCTTGAGGTGGATGCATACAAAAAATGAGTTTCATTTCTTAGTTCAGCGAGGAAAATACTGACATCACAATTGCATGTGCATATTTTCCATTTGACTCTTTAAGAATTGTCGATTGTGGAAGGATACAACATAATAGTCACTTAGCTGTCTCTGCTTACTTTTGGGTGTTTATCTGAATCTCCTTCACTAGCTTCAAGATATTCAGTTGACAACTTTTCTATACATAGACATGTTAACTAGAGATGATTTGCAAGTTCATAATCTTACTGCCTTTCTGGTTCTAGGCAGGCTTCTATTGAATGTCCCGACTGGGAGTGAATGTTATTTCCTAAAACTAGAAAGTTGGAAGATTCGCTTTGGCTTAATATCTGACACTGTTTTCTATAATTATTCATTTACTGGTCGTGGGACTGGGATCAGGACAGGGAGGGTTGATATGGTTGTGCCTTGGGACTAAAACCACTAGAGAAGCATGTACCAACTAATAGATTCAGATCCACTTTTTTTCAACTTCTCATCACACTTTACGGATGCCCTAATTGATGATGTTTTGTTTGCAGAGCATGCTAGGTCGAAAAATGCTTGAATTCCAACTGAGAAGACTTGGTGCTTTCGATGCTGAAGAAACTATTAGCTCACACTCCAACCTTGACGAAAGCTTCAAACTCTGTGAGAAGTTTTTGCTAGCTGTGTTAAAGCTTCGATCTTGGATAGATATTAAGCTTTTCTACCTGTTTATTCTTTTACCTTAAAACCATTTGCAGTGTGGGCCAACCATGGGGATGATATAAGCATCCAGTACTCTGGTACTCCAGCTTTAAAGGGAGATTTTGTCAGGTAACAACTTTCTTGTTCTGCTTAAAGAAGATGGTATCATATGAAGGCAGTATTAGTACAAAACATATTTTTAGAGAGTGCATTAATATAAATGCATAGATAGTAGGATGCAAACCCTGAAAAAATCCTAAATCAACTAACATTATACAGCCATCATTGACATTGGTACTAGTTTTTGTCCAATTACATTCATATCAAGAGTAAGAATCTGGGATTTGGACTTTTAAATGTCAACTGCACAATTCCATCGATAGTTTATCTCGAGATCATGATGGATATAGCATATAGCTTTATAAGTTATATTAAAAAAATTGATCTTATGACTTCAAGCTTTTTCTTTCGTCAATCAATGTCACGATGAAATCGACATTGTTGTTTGATATGCAGATGTGGTCACAGAACAGCCCAGGGGGTTATCGCTGACGGATGTAATGCCCTAACACGATACTACTTGAACAACTTTGTTGATGGTACTAAACAGGTAATGATGCTTCTTTCGAGCAATTAGTTGTTACTCAGGTCTGTACGTCATATCAAGTTGGTATTCATTATGTGCTGTCACTTGCAACTTGGTTTCATACTTATCTGCCTGTTGAAATTTGGAATGCATTCTTTAAATAGTACTAAGCTTCATGTATGCAAGCCATCTGCAAAGTATTAACTGAACCTAGTATTATCATTTGCAGTGTGCTGCCATTTTATTGGATTTGTTTCTTGTTGACTTCTAGGAGATACTCTCATTAAGAATGTTTAACCTGTTATGTGTCCCAGTATCTAGATTGGAATTGGCTGCAACAACTTTGAGCTTCTATATTTCCAATTTGGACACTGAATTCGTTTATGCTATTTTTTATTTAATGAAGGATGCAGTTGATTTATTGCAAGGACACTATATTCCGGCTGTCTCTCGAGATATGAAACCATCATCCCAAAAAGGAAGCCTTGAGACTAAAGCTGTGAGTCTAATTACTTATTCTGCTGTGATCATGCTTAACATGCACCTATTCATCAGATTCCTGTGCTTAGACCATATTGACATACTAAATTATTGACTTCACCAACACTCTTAATTGCATCTGCAAAGATGTTTTGACTCAAGATCAAAGTGTTCAATCTATTGACTAGTGACCTGTCAGTCTTAACTTTCATTACCATCCGCTGTAACCAATGCCTACAGTTACCTAACAAGTATCATATGTGATAACAGTCGTTTCCTCTGGCATTGGCGCTAATATTGACTGGGTTGTTCTTTGCTATGTTGTCGCTAAGGAAAGGTGAGTTGGTATAATGTGAATGTGTTTCTTATTGTGCTCTTCAACAATTATCTTTGAAGGTGTGTTAAAGAATCCAAATCCTGCTAATGCCTAGCAAGTATCTTACCCATGTTTCCTGTTTTGTACTTCCCAATCCACAGTTCGACATGATCTTCGGAGTCTGATATATGCAGTGGTTTGGGCAAGCATAAGTATGGGAATAGCTGCATTTGTGAAAGCCAATGGTCGAATGTTCTGTAACAGGCCTAGCCTGCACCAATCAAGGCGTTGATTTTTGGGTTCAGAATGCTTGGTAGGAGCTACGTTTGCTAAAATTGCCAGATTTTTCATATGCTTTGTAAAAAATTTGGTTATTGTGTGTTCTTTTCATGTCTTTGATAATTTTCTTTTTGATCATTCATTTAAAAGGTCCTAGTTACATGATTATTTGTATATTGAAATGGTTATGATTGATATTTCTAGAAATTGAATCTCGGCTTCGCCATGATTTGGTAACTATTACTGTTGCTCTCTAAGTTGTATGATCTCTTTGTGTGTCTTATGATCCATTCTCCTTGATGCATTATGTCAATGTCCCAAAGGAGGGCAAAGGTGGTGGTTTAAGCTACTTCTGGAAATGTTATGTCAAGTAGTCATCCTACACAACATAGTTTTTTTTTCTTTTATAATGTCATCTGCGTCAGTTTGACTGCACTTGGACTATTCTATTAGGTATCTTCTACCTCCCACCAAATACTCATCAAGTAACTTTACTAACCAAAGCATATATACAAGAAGAAATCACCTAAAGTTTGTCTTTGTTGGGACCTGAATACTGGTCTCTCATAATTTTCGCTCATTTCATTGACCATTAGACCACACTCGTGTGCAAACATAATGTGTATTTTTAAGGAAATATTGTTTCTACTAAATGAGGTAAATAATTTGGTAAAATTAGATCCAATAGAATTTTAAATCAGAACATAATAGCATCCAGATGAAGTATTTTTAGGGTAAACACTAACTTGGCCTGCTTCATCTATTCCTAATAATGCTTCAAATTTTATTTGTACTACTGAGATAAACAGCAGAAATATGAAAGCTGTAAAAAGATAGCTTGGTAGCCTTCAATACATTACTTGGGATGACTTGGAATGGCATAGGGAGGCCAATAGAGGTGAAATTGAATCTTATAAGTAACAGTGATCCCAGACAGATCCACTGGAGAAGATGTCACGTAACCTTGAACGAACAGAAAATCACCAGTTCCTCCGACAACAGGATGGTTAGATGGCTTTGTATTGTGTGTGCCTCCCACTACTGATATTGAGCCTTTGTAATGATTCATCATCAAAGTGATCTTAACAGTAGATATGCTTTGCAGTCCATTTAACGAGGATGTTATCGATGTTCCTTCAGCTGTCCCAACTATCTTTGAGTTTGAGTTGGGTTTTAGAGTTAAGGGATCTTGGAACACATATAAGGTGCCAAAAGGTGTTGTGGTTTGGCTTGTGGACGGTCCTGCAACACCATTCACTATAAGATATGCTGTTTTATTTATGGTTTCGTGTTGAAAGAGAGTAAAATGGATTGACTTGAGTTCATGGTGATGGTGGTGGTGGTGAGAAATTGAGGTAGCCTCACGACACAAGAGGACGGAAAGAAGAAGATAAGAAAGAAAAGAAGAGTAGCATAGAGAGAGAGCCATTGTACTCTAACAAAGCAATGTGGTTCTAACAGAATACAAATGTTATCACTTTTATAATAGCTGTGTCTGTGTATGCACTTCAACTATTTGATTTCATTCGGTGCCTGCTACTTTTTATTAACACAGTTATCAAGTTGGGTTAAACAAACAGGAAGAGATCACTTAACTTTTACTAGAAATTGAATAGTGATCTGCCCCTACTTCATGAACGCGGACCCACCATTGACTTCAAATCTTACCACAGCCTTTGGACATGGAACTAATGAGTCCTGCCATGGCTTTACTTAGAAGTTTCAAAGTCTCCAAGCTAGACGACTGAGATGGAGAGAGTCTTAAAGTATTTTAGTGAGTGGTATCTTTTAGGTAAAACATTATTATCATGAAGAAAATGAAGTCAATAGAAGAGTTTTTCCACCAAACCCTAGTACGTGACGATTGGATTATTAGTCATTATCTTGACAATTTTGGCACAGAAGGACAAAATTATTGTTCATTTTAATCCAAGAGAAATTTCTTGGTGTTGAATATTGTCTATCATATCGTATATTATTATAAGTGGGAAGCTCTTAACTTCAAAGTTGAATTACCATTTTACCATTCACTTAAATTTTTTCTATTTTTTAAAATGTAAAAGTATTTTTAATAAATAATTAGATAATAAACTTTAAAGTAATAAAGATATTACGAAAGATAAATAGTCATTCAAACAAATGAAGTTCAAACATTTCAAAACATCTCTTATTTAATTTTAAGTTAAAGAATTTGAAGAGTTCCATTGATAAAATTATATACATGATTTTTCCAACAAAATACATTATTTTGATGTCTTCTCATGACAATAGCATGTGAATTGATTTATCTCACAAAATTCTTTTTCAAATTTTTCATGTTTCTTTTGATCAATAAATTTTAGGCATTTATGTATATAGATAGAAATAATATTACATGTTTTGTTTTATTCTTTTCATCGAAAATTTATGTTTTTAACGCAACAGGTGATAAATAATTCTAGAGAGTTTTTTATTTGGACAAAAAGTCTGCTCAACGTTCATGAAGTAAAACAAACCTACTTATGTGAGAAAAAATATGTTTGTTTTGTTAATTTATTGACGGTAAATCTTGGAGAATATAGTATCTGAATTAGAATTTAATCATTTCAGTGCATTAGATGCATTCTTCAAGAAGGTTAAAGGCGTCATGAACATTTATTTGTTGTTTGGTAAGTATTATTTTTCATTTCAATGTTGCATATTTTTACTTAGTTCATTATTTGTTACATTCAATTTTTCGGTTGAAGGAAGGTAAATTGACTACTTTTTCTTGAATAATGGCAATGAAAAAGAAAATAAAAATTTTCATTTACATGTCTGATGTACAAATCTTCTTTTAAAGATTATGTTTGTTATAACAAGTTGATTATCATGTAGTGAACACTCTAGGTTATTGGATAAGACAAATTGAATAATTGATGTAATTAGTTTTTTCTCATAATTAAATCTACAAAAAATTAGCATGCATTATATTTAATGTATTTTTTTAGAATTTATAAATGATTTACTACTTGTATGAAAATAAAATCATGGTGTGATTTCATGTTCGTAAATAAATACCCCTAATAACGAAAGACGAGGTAGTGTTGAAGAAGAAAAACAGTATTGCTAAATATTTTTATATTCTGCAACTTTATGTTTTTATTGATTAAATTTAGAACTTATTATTTCATTTATTCTATCTAGAAAAAAAAGTATTTGGATAAAAAAAAATCTCATAGATTCTTTTTACTCATTTTAAGGAGTAAATACTCCTTTTAATTTTTAAACATAAAACAATATTATTAATAATATTTATATTTTTTTTTAAAAAAAATGTATTGACTAATATAGGTAAACAAGCAGAGGGCGAGTCCAGAAATTATTATTATTTTTATTATAAGTGAGAAGATCTTAACTTTAAAATAGGATTATGATTCTACCCTTTAAAAAATTTAAATATTATTAAAGAAATAATTAATAAAATATTACTTAAATAATACTTATATGGTATTAATCCATTATGTTTCTAGGTAGGAATAATTAAAGAAATGTTTAATTTGTCTTTTATTCTAAAATAGAGTTCGGTAGATGAAATATTTCATAACAACAAAAGACAGTAAATTATATTCAAAATATCCTTTAACATTAAAGAAAAAATGTTCTTTGAATTACCATACGTCTTAATATGACACACATTTAGATTTTAGTAAGAAACTTTACATATGCTCAACTTTAAACAATCTAATTCTCATAAACGTTATTTATGTATATCATTAATTTTTAAATGACTTTTACAATTCCAAGCTTGTAACTGTAAATACCAAAAAATTATCTTCAAAATCACTTTATATTAATGCATACACTTAGTTATTCCGATGTATAATTGTTTATGAATAATTATTGGTGGATGTAATTACACTTGACACATTGTTCAACACAATTACTTTTTGTTGATGCATATGCTTTGTTATTCTAATGTATAATTATTGATGGATAATTGTTGATGAATGTAATTGTTCATCACATATGCAATAAAAAAGATATAGATCTGTTTATGTTTTTGTTAGTTATTGAGGAAGTTCCACTATTCTTATAAACTAGAACTATTTCTTTCTTTAATTTTTGTTATTTAAAAGTTTTAGAATTCATTAGCTATTTTATTATTTTTAGTCTACTCTATTTCATTTTATTTTTAAATTCATTAGCTAATTTGGTGTTACACTCTTTCTCTTTTGATTACTTAGTTTTATGAATAAATTATTAATACATATTGTAACTATATTTAAATAATTTACGAATATTTGTACTTAGTAGCGTGCAATACAAATATATTTTTTATTCTGAAATTCAATTTTTTAAGTATGCACACATTTTGTAGTAATTACAAGGAACAAACGTGCAACACACGTTTTCAAAATTTACTATTATTATAAGTGGGAAGCTCTTAACTTCAAAGTTGAATTACCATTTTACCATTCACTTAAATTTTTTCTATTTTTTAAAATGTAAAAGTATTTTTAATAAATAATTAGATAATAAACTTTAAAGTAATAAAGATATTACGAAAGATAAATAGTCATTCAAACAAATGAAGTTCAAACATTTCAAAACATCTCTTATTTAATTTTAAGTTAAAGAATTTGAAGAGTTCCATTGATAAAATTATAAACATGATTTTTCCAACAAAACACATTATTTTGATGTCTTCTCATGACAATAGCATGTGAATTGATTTATCTCACAAAATTCTTCTTCAAACTTTTCATGTTTTTTTTTATCAATAAATTTTAGGCATATATGTATATAGATAGAACTAATATTACATGTTTTGTTTTATTCTTTTCATCGAAAATTTATATTTTTAATGCAACAGGTGATAAATAATTCTAGAGAGTTTTTCATTTGGACAAAAAGTCTGTTCAACATTCATGAGGTAAAACAAACCTATTTGTGTGAGAAAAAATATGTATGTTTGTTTGTTAATTTATTGACGGTAAATCTTGGAGAATATAATATCTGAATTAGAATTTAATCATTTCAGTGCATTATTGGGATTCACAAGTTTACGTACACATACATTTATTTAATGTGTCAGTACAAATTTAAGATCTACAGAAAAATTATTGGATTCGTCCAAACTTCACTTAATTCCGTCTCTGTATTAAACCCCCCATTCAGATATATATCTTCCTAAGACATGACAGCTATCATTCTTGAGTGATACTCCCACTCATATTACACATTTATTTAAAAATATGAGATTTTTCAATATTTGAAAATTATTTTATCGTAACATCTCAATTTTACTCTCATTTAATGACTTTTATTCTCATTTAATGACTTGGCTTGTTGGAACTCTAACCACTACTCATCTAAATAAATAGATATATGGAACTATCATCCTGATCAATGCGATGCGTTGATACTTTGCATAGATCTTGCTAAGGGAAAAGGGTTCAAAATATTTTTTATATTTTTGGCTTAAAAATATCGTTGTCGTTAATTAACTAGCTTAAAAATATTTTTTAACGAATGAAATAGCTCAAAAATACATTGTCTTAGAAATGAAACTGACGTCAAGGCTGAACCTCAGACTCTAATGACAGAGCCAACAGGTATAACCAAGTGCTATTTACTAACATTGGCCTATGAGGCTTAGCTGAATTATTATTTTTTTTTAAAATGTAATTGAAGGAACAACCAGAGCTTACTCTATAATTTGAAAGAATGACTGATCATCCTTAATATCAGAGTCAAAAAACTTGGAGATATTCCCTTTGAAGCATTGTGGAGATTAGCAATGTTGAATAATTGTAACTACTGATCTGAGGAAAAACACGGTCAAATTCATGTAAACGACTCATACTAGCAATGAGTTTACAACTTCTTTTCCTTCTCCAGATGAGGATATAGTCGCTGGAAATTCAACACAGCCCATACCAAGTGTCGTAAACCAAAATCAGGAAACTATATATGCCTTTGGGGAATACAGTTTGTAAGTCGGCCAAAGAAGGAACCTGCTGATGTGAGACGCACCTGAAATTCGTATCAGAACATCAGGATCATGTGCCATTCTCATATATGTATGCCTCTCTATATTTTTACCAGCTTATGACATGATCTAGCTCCATATTTTCTTCAGTTATTTCTGCATTTTGAGATTGGATTTCGTTCCATTTCTCTTGACAGGATGCTTGAATGGCCTGCGTGATCTCATCAGTAGAAGTGTAGGCCACAGAGATAAGGAGATTGCTCTTGGTGTTTTTGGCAGTGACTTACGTACATCGCCTTCTCAGCTGCAACTCTAACCGGCTAGTCAAGGAGCTTCAGGTTCCCCACGAAATGAATTCTCACTCCATATTCGTTGTCTAAAAAGCAAATTCTTAGCTCATATTTGCCCCCATCATTTTACGTATCACCTTCCATATCCGGGTTCTGAATCCATGGTGGCTTGTAGAATAAGCTGCAGCTTGGCTGCTGTGTGTTCATATGTATCAAAATGTATGTATTGTTCTCAAGAAATGAAAAGTGATGTTAGTGGAAACAGCCTCTTCACCCCATAAAAGGCAGGGGGTGAAGTTTGTGTCCATCCTACCTACCGTCTCCAGACCCTATTCGTGAAATTACACTTGGACATGTTTGTTTCTTGGAAAACTCAAGAAAGCGCCTTTCTTTCTTCATCCAGAACACAACCCCAGTACAGTTCACAAGCGTCATATTAACTAATTCGAGATAAGTTCTGTTTAGTGCATTATTAGTTTCCTTCTGTCTTTCATGAAGATTGAAGGGCTTTGTTTCTATACTCTCTCTTTCACATCGTATCATTCTCTCTCTCTCTCTCTCTCTTCCACTGTGATAGCTGCTAACTCGTTTTTCTCCTGTTGTCGTTGTATTATCTTTCTGCAAAAACATTCATCCTGGCAAGAAAACCAATACTAGAAACATTTTTAAGTCATCCAACTTGTGAACCAATATCAGAGTAATTTTAAGATTCTAGACAATAAATTAACAGGGTCTTCTGTGAACATATACCAAGCAGTGTACAAGGAAAATAAAAACCATAAATGAAATTCAACGACAAACCGACAGAAGAATGATAAAGCACTATTACGTTGTGGTCACCCCAATTCACCTTGCAGATACTGAGACAGATGTGGCAATAAAAAAGGGTGGCGGCTAGAAGAGAGAGGGTCCACCCACTGGCACGCTGGTGAACACCATGCTGAACCTTCACTTCTTTTATTGCTCGTCCCCGTAATTGGCCCTTCAAAGTAACTAACACCACACTAAACCACTAAGTAGGCCAATTCCACAAAACACCAAACAAGTCATAAATTAAATAACATGATTTTGACTCGACCTATTGGCCATCTTTTTCTGTAAAAATGGAAGTGCGACAGAGACGTGTACTTTAAACTTTTGTTTTATCCACTCACTTATTCAGTCGGGGATTGCCAAGATGGAACTTAGGAAGTATACGTATGAATTATGATGTAAATTTTTCACCTATATCACTCAAGCTTCTTTTTTTTTTATTAACAGAGGAAGGATACGTATGAATTATTACATGCAGCTTCAATTCTTTTTACTTGGAATAATTCCCATAAATTGTAAAACTTTTAAATCTTTGAAGATTATTTTTAATGTCATAATTTAATCTACTTTATAATCTCTGTTGAAACTTAAAATTAACGAACTGACATATTTTGGATACTGAGGGAAGCACGCCAGATACATATTGTACAAGAAGTAATTAGATCCATCCCTTGAAAATAAAAAAGGTTCACAGTCACATTTTCAAATCAAAAAATTAATAATTGCAAAAGTAGATAACACCTATAGCAGTCCAAGTCTCATGCCAAACCTCTACATTCAATCCTGTTAATTGTAAGCCAAAGAAACTCGAACACTATCGACATTACCTTTACAACAACAAAGTGTTTCCAATAAAACACCAATATTGGTATGTAGGGACCGAAACCACTTCAACTATATTATCGTCACCATTGTCAGTGAGGCACATCCTACACACCCCACTTGTAGGATTATACTGGGCATGTTGTTGTCATTATCAATGCAAGCTGTAATATTCTGCAACCATCCATCAGCTAAAATGAAAACATATCCAGCAGCATCAATATTGGTGTCTAGTCCTCGAGCTCTTGGGCAGCACCCTCCTCCGATGAGGTTGATTTGGGAAAGAATTCTTCACCAGAATACAGCTCTCGAAATATCTGCACAAAAACACCAAATGAGGATACTGTCTGAGTATCTGCCCTTCTCCTACATCACTATAAGCACTTCTGAAAAGCATGCAATGGGTCATGGTAAAGACGGAAGAAGGAGGAGGGCGGGAATAAGGGAAAAAGAACATAGGGACCTACATAAAAGAAGTCCATTTAAGAAATGCATGTTTACCTTTTCTGTAGCAACCAGAAGATCGTGGTAATATGGACTACCATCTGGCATGGGGGTACGGATGATATTATCTCGTACATCCTGAAACTGATGGACAAAAATTGGAAAAATCAGGAAAACTATCACAAACTCAGGGACCATTTGGTGGCATGTTGGATTAACTAAGATTATTAGTTCCTGGATAAATAATTAATTATTTGGGGATTGTAAGGTCATGACAACCTGATATGGTGTGTTTGCCGCTTGCAGTTGGCTTAATAATGCTGTACCTTAACGGTAAGTCAATCTTGCGTTATACACTCTTGGATTAAATTACCAGTCCAAGAGTAATCCTCACGCAGAACAAGGGTTTTTTTATGATCTATAAGAAACTAGATTTATTAACTGCTCTACAATTTTTTATTTTCCATCACAAATTCATCTCAGTCCATCAATCTAACACTAATTATCCATAATTTTCAACTATTGAAGTACATAATTTACAAAAGAAGAATCACAAATTGATTTAAAAAGTAGAAAACAAGATTGTGCATCGTTAGCAAAAATTATATATTTCAGGACATAGAAAGAAAAGCAACATCAATATGTGAGGAACAGGAGAAAAATAATGAAGCGAAAAAAACAATAGAAAACGCAAGGAGAAAGAAATACAAGACAAACAGAAGGAAAGGGATGGTGATCAGCTGAATGGAGGAAACAAGAGGAGATTGGAGGCAGGAAAGGTTATATGTCAGTTACATGGCTTTTTAGGTTTTGTTTGTTTTTTAGGGCTGGGGGATCAGCCAGGCTGCAGGGCAAAGCAATCTGCAGGAAAGAGGACTCACCGGAGGTAGCAAGATGTGACTAGAAAAAGCTCTGTGTTGGAGGAAGATGGAGGGCAAGAAGGAAGGAGGAATAGAAATGAAGCAAATGCTACCTCTAGTCATATTTATAAGTGAGGATCAGAAGGGTAATTCTCACACTTACCATGAGATCTAATCCCTGGATATAAATATCAAAGACGTCCTCTGTGATAAAATTATGAGCAAAGTGGCTGATAAAGTAATCAAATTGCTCCACTCTGACTTCCGATTTTACACAAAAGAAGGGATTGATAAGCTTCAAGAATGATTAATTTCTGAGTCAACCGACTAATGAACTATGCTAAGTTCTATATGATAAGTTGACAGTCTATATCAAAATGTGCAGAAGATTCTGAACGAAGATGATTCAGAACCCTGAAGAAAAAAAAAATTGACGAACTGCAACAGCCCAAAATGAAATGTTCATGACAGCTGTTTGGCTGCTTTTGAGAAGAAAAAAAATACCAATATGAAAACCTTAGCAAAATGAAACAAGAACTGGGGGAATATCCTTATAGAATAAAATTGGAAGAGCAATAGTTTAGAGCAAACCAAAAACAGAACAGGGTATTAAAAGGTTATAGCAGATACCTTAGCAAGTTCCTGAGTATAAAAGACACTCCAAAGTACAGCAGGTTTTGCATCCCCTGTTTCACTTTGGTCCTCCACAAAATTATTATTCCCAGGACTTCCAGAAACAGGAACATGAAACAGCACATCGATGGCTGTATGTAATAAATTCTTACCCTGAACATCATCCTCACATATAGCTGAGAGATAAGTCAAAAACCTGAGAGAGAAAACAACTGACCAATTGAGATAGGGTAAGAAGACACTCAAGGAATTAACCAAAAACGTGCAACTCCATTCCATTCAACTTAATAGTATCAATTACTACTATATTTAGATATATTCACAATCAAACTACTGAAACCACATTCTTAGAGTTGCCAACATGATTTCAAAAGCTTAACAGGGAATATTTGTTATACAGGTAGCTGAACAAACTTGATAGATGGATGAAGATTGAGTCACAGAACTTAAGCATAACAAACTTGGTGTGTTTCAATGTTATATTTCACCTTTTGAATAAAGATGGTTAACTTGAGCTGTAACATTCAAAAAGTGGAAGGCAAAGGTAGTAACATGAGCAGAACATTCTAAAAGTGAAAGACGGACTAAAACCACATCCTAAAAAAGAAGATGAAGTCTGAATGATATATTTATAGGGATGAATCAGAAGACCATACAGCATTAGAGAAGAGGTGAGTGAAATAGACATTAAACGGGTGAACTCACATTCCAGAGGGGCAAACAGCTACATTGCTACTCAACTGAAGCACATGGATTGCTGTGACCTGCTCAGGAAAGAGAGCTGGGGGTTGGGGAAGAGAGGGGAGTTGACAAGGTTAGAAATTCAATTATTTATCACTTAAAAACAAAAAGGTGGGTTAGGAATCTATCTTACATCTAGGAGGAAAAAATGCCAGACAATTGGCTACATCCAGTTTCAGAGAGTGCTTTGAGATGCATATACTCCTCGCCAGCTTCTCAGTTGTATTTCGCGAGCCAAAATCATGAGCATCAGGGGAGGAATAAGGGAGTGGTGATTGAACCACAAAAGATGGAGCTAATATCAGCTTATGGCAGAACAATTCTTGTTCAGAAGCCAAGCAAACACCCTTGTAACTCCCACTAGCCTGTGAAGTAATCGAAGTGGCATGTCAACTCATGAACTTTACAAAAATCCAGCTGCACCAAACGAGGGCAGTTAAGAGTTAATATGAACAAGAAGAGAATCGCTTTGAACCTTGTCCATAAGGAGAGAATTAACAGGCATCCGAAGAACCTGGAAACAAGTTGAAGTAAAGATAGACTTAGCCTCCTCGGAAGATACTAATTATAACAACAATTCAACGAATTCCAGAAAATTAAACATCAATTAGTGAGTATTGAAGGATGGACACATAAACAATGATTCGTATGTTTAGCACATTAAGAACTTCTTGCAAATTTCCTAATAAAACTAAACTATGAATGACAGAATCAAGACAAAGAGATCTTTTTTATTAAAGAAAAAAGACTAACAGAAGAGAAACCCAATCAAGGTGATATCTTCTAATTGACACGTAAAAAGCTTAGCTAATTCAGCTGTCAAAAAAAATAAAGTTAAACTCATTTAGCAGTCGTCAAAAGTAAAGAATAATCAAGTTTGTTTGAAAAAGATTTTTTCAATACTACAAGTAAGCTCATCAACATTCCTAGCTGTAAAACAGCAGGGCAAATCATCACAAACGTATAGCTAGCATTCTGAGGAATAAAAATACAAGGCCAGCAACTAGCTATAAACATTCAATAGACTTTGTAGCTAGAGCCAAAGCTCCCTAAGTTACATGCTGAGAGCCCTGATACATCATCCAACTGCAAATTTAAGACCTTTATTAGCACTCTTCAGAGCTATGTTATGCGCCTCTCTCACTTCCTTATGATAGATTTTGACAAAACACAAACTCTTCTCTATTTTGAGGATGCTGGCAGGGTGCAGAGAAATTATACAACCAAAATATAAAAGGACCACAAACATAACGCATATATGGAATATCTTATATTCTCATACCACGAAACAACAACACGAGGGGAAAAAGGGAAAAGAACCTCACTGGAACCAAATTGCAAGATAATTTGATGGAGTTATACAAGCAAAAAAAGATGTTAAAAGACGTACATAAATGCATCCTTTGACTGCAGCACGACGACAAAAGGCTTGCGGAAGTTCCCCTTGACCATAGATGGGGTAAATCATAGCACCAGGTGCATTAGGAAACCTAAAGTTTGAGAACAATGGGAAAACTACATTCATGACAAGGAAGCTTAAGATCATAGATATCAAGGCATACAAAGATAACTTTCCATCTTGTGGACCAATTATTATGATTAATTACTACCAAAATCGAATCTCATTCTCTTTTTCTGACAGTTCTAGAAAATGATTAACTAATCTCAAAGAATTGTCTTGTCAAAAAGACAAACCCAACTATAGACAGAGCTCTCTAGGTTGACTTTCGATCTCACAGTTAACCATCTTACCCACCACAAGATCAAGGTTTTGACTTAGCATAAATGCTCAACGAAGAATTGACAGACATGAAAACACAAATGATGGGCATTCCAAGGTCAGACCTGCTTCATCCACACATGCAAGCATAACCTAAGCATGCATCCTATTGAACTTACTTTTTGATATAACGGAGATGCAAATGGACAATAAAAATATATTAGCCTAATAATATTATTTTCAGGATTTCCTTAAGCATGAATCTCAGTTCTGGATAAAGCAGAAGCTAAACAGCAAGCAAATGGAGGAGGGACTTTCATGATTAGTACAAAAACATTTATGTACAAATAGACGAAGTACATTAAGGATTACTACACTAATATTTTATGTATTGAAGAAAAGATGTAAGAGGTATTTTCATGATTTCTACATGACTGTTTTAAGTAAAATGGAAGGTGAGAGTAACCTGCCAACAGATGAGTGATAAAGGGCCAATCGATCAATACCATCTTTGGTCTTAAGAACACTTCTGCAAACATCTGCATTCTCTTGATCATACTCTGCCATAGCTATTGCATATAGAACA